CACTATCAGATCTTGACAAGTGGGTACAAGCATCGACTGAAGCCCTAATGCAATTATATAATATCATATGGAAACCACGATATGCTACAGCCAATACCTCTCCACAAAATGGTATAAAATGGAAAGACAAATCCTCCAGCAACACAATTAAAAACAATCAAGCAACTTCAAAATCAAATCCACGAAAACCCCCATCCACACAAGAGTCAACAATGACAACAATTGATCTACCCACCTTGATCACAGATTTTTATATTCAGAGCAATTTCAACTTTTTCAAGTGTATTACTAATCTAATCCAAAGCTATTCCAATCTTATTTCTCCCAATACTGAGTAGGTAAACATAGCCGCTCGGTATTACTTGACAAGATATATTGTTTTAAATTTTATTTTCAATATTAGTCACGTGGTTTCTGTAAGCAAGCTAGCATTAAACTCATTATATTTACAAATGAGAGATGTTGTTTCTTTTACGATGTATACTTTTAATATACAAATCAAATAAAAAAATGATGTTTACCTACTAAAAAAAAAAAAAAAAAATTTTAAATAATATAATTTAATTTAAAATTCCAAAAAATACTGAACTAGTATAAAATTGATATCAAAATAATACTAATATATAGTAAATTTAATATATACAGTATATTGTGATCCACTTATATAAATTTATAGTAAATTTAAGTATTGAACTGATATCAAAGTAGTATTAAGGTGATATTTTTAGAGTCCTAGTATAATTAAAAATATATAATATCATTTATTTATCTTTATTAAAAACAAATTCTATTAATTATTATTGTATTTTTTAATAATAAAAAAAAACTAATACGTTAAAAATTATATATTAAAATTATATGTTAAAAATTATATGTTAAAAATAATATAAAAATTATTTGCATTAATTTAATTTGTATTTGTTTAAAAATGTTATTTTTTAAATAGCAATAATATTAAAATAAATTTTTGATTAATTAGTAAAAAAAACAAACAAATAGATAATTTTCTTGAAAATATAAAACAATATATATTTAAAATATTTTGAAATAAAAAAAAATTGCTATAAAATAAGATATTGCAATTAAATTAATATTTTTATTTAATAATATATTAATAACAAAATATTTTGAATTGAATAAATTGAATATATAGTATAAACAAAATAAATTGTAAGATATCAAATCAAAATGAAAATTTTAAATAAAATGCTAAAATATATTAAAAATATATTAAATTGCTTATTATTTTAAATAATTTTTTCGATAATCGGTGAATTATATTAATTATTACATTAATTATTAATTTTTTTTTCAACAATACGTGAACTGATCTTGTAAAAAAAAAAATTAATTTTATCTTTTTTATACACATTGTATAAATAGAAAATTTTAAAATTGATTTTAACATACTGTATTATAGGTTATTATATCAACACCTTTTAAGTAACCTATTATTATTATTATTATTATTTGTTGATTTGTTTATTATTATCATTTGATATGTGTAAAACCCGATCGGAAACATAAATTTACAAACATTACAAAATTTTTTTTTCTTAAAGTCAATATAATAGCATTTAAATATCATTATTGGTTATTATTATTAATTTTTTTAAAATCATTTTTTATTAAAATAATCATCATATTCTTGTATCTTAAAAAATATTTGAATTTGCTTTGTTAAAAATTTTATACATACAACCCATTGGAATTAGTTAAAAAAAAAAACGAAAAAAAGGGTTTTTTTTTTGTTATCGAAATTTTTCGGGGATATAAGAAAATTGTGTAATTTTGACGAGTTCCAACACATTCTTCTAAACTTTAGCGGTGTTCTTATTGACATGGCACAAATTATATTAAAGGATGAAATGAAAGTTGAATTAAATCAGAATTTGATCACACAAGTTAAATTAAAATGAAATGACTAAATTAACAGAATCAGTTAAGATAATTCGAACTTATTTACAGAACGTACCGTACATATTGAAGAATCCTTGTTAAAGTTTACTAGTACTTAAATAATACCAGTATTTATTATTTAAGTATGATAATTCCATTTGTGACGATGCAGCAAAGAATTTCTACAATTGGTAACGGACAATATCCGGTGTTCTATAAATCATCAATCATCTTAATCGGGATAGTATTCAAAATTTCTGTGTAACTTTCATTCCATTGTTGCTAATATTGATTTTGCTCTTTTTGTTTCAAAATTCTAATAACAAAACGCTTTGATTCGTTCAATCATCGACGGCGCAGAAAAAGTCGTGCGATGAATAGTCATTCCCCTTTAACGTCCATTTCTTGGCAAACCTAAGAACGTAATCAAACTTGCCAGAAAAGGGAAAAACATACACAATATGCAATCGAATGTGAAAAGGGTAATCCGAAATATACGCATGTTTTCTTAAATCAATGATCCTTTAATACATCTTGCATTATCTTCGAAACAATTTTCTTACGATCCCATGAGTTCATGATTTGCGTGTGTCCCGAACATCACCCTTTTACCGTAAAGTACCGCCAAGCCATTATTTATTCTTTTATTGTTATTATTACTAATCATTTGTGTAAACTAAGCCTCCTGGTTGTTATATAAGCACGAATTCAACACAAGAGTTTTCTTCACAACGTTCTTTCTTGACCACTTCAACAACTTGATATCCATACATCCACCCCCTTCCATTTCTCTTTACAATCAACATGAAGTTTGGCTTTAGTGTTATTATCGTTGCTTTTGTCGCTTCCTTGATCTGGAAATCAAGTGAGGCAGCAATCGGTGCACCCAATACCTTCGGGTCTCCACCGCCATCTGGTATCTGCCGGGGAAATAAACGTGGTTTGAAACCTGCCGACGGTACGCAAATTGCAAATGGATTTTGTTCTAGTCAACTCTTTGGTGAAATTCCATCCTCCTCCAAAATGGTCTCTACTCGCATTCTCTTCCCCCAGAATGGTGGCTTCGTGAAATCGAACCAAAATTTCACCGCACAGGTTAAGAGCGTCAACCTGAACACCGGTTTCTTTTCGGATGCTGCTACGGATTATTACGATCTACCACAACAACTTGGTGCTAATGGAGCTATCAACGGCCACAACCACATTGTTATCCAATCATTAGGAGGACCAACTGATGTTCCGGATCCCACTGTATTTGCCTTCTTTAAGGGTTTGAACGATCCTGCGGATGGTTCGGGTGTTCTAAATCAAGTTGTTGGTACTGCGAACAAGCCTGGTTTGTCACCAGGTGTCTATCGCATGTGCACCATGACCTCATCATTCACTCATCAACCTTTGATTATGCCTATTGCTCAACGTGGTCCTCAAGATGATTGCGTCAATTTCTTCGTCAAGTAGAGATGGGATAATAACCAATAAAATTTGCCTTATTGAAATTATCGTTCTTTCTTTCTTTCATTTTTTTAAATTAAAAATTTAGTAATAGAAATATTAGAAATTCTTTTAGCGTTCAAAATTTCACTGTAAATGGTTAATGGTTCGTCTACAAACCTAACTATAGACGTTGTATTGTAAGGCGGGAACGTAAATAATATTGGATATTGGGAATTATTATGTCTGCTACGTGATTCATCTTGTAAACAATAAAAAGAATCAATTTTTCATTCTGGAATGAAATTTAATTATATGACGGAAGGTATGGTTTCTAATACCCATTGTTTTATTTTCTGGTAAAATTCTGTGAATGCCTCCAAATCTCAATGCGAATGTCTCCCAATGTTCTACGTGAATGTCTCCCAATGCTCTATGTGAATGTCTCGCAATGTTCTATGTGAATGTCTCCCAATGCTTATGTCATTGTTTACACTCACCCAGTAAAAGAAAGTTATCGGACAACTTTAAGCAATTTCCAAATATAGTAATTGATAGACTAATTGGGCTCATCGACTTTCCTTAAATGCACGTAATATATAATGCAGGGGATGCACCAAAGGTTTTAATCGTACGCCAGTAAGGATGTTTAGTCGGCTAGAAAGTGGGATCTTTTTGTTTTGTTTATTCCATATTGAAACCATACTTAACATGGCAAGACTTGGGGGTTAATTCTTTTAAAATACCTAATATAGCAAAGTAAAAAGTACAAAGAAAAAAATGTTGATTGTTTTGTATATCTAACGTCAAAGGAAAAAATCACAATTTGATTTCTTTTAAATTAAGCATTAACACAGTGTTACGATATGTTGCGAGTCCATTACTAATCCCGATCGAATATTCACGTAACCGTTTCAAGATTAATGCGCTTGTGGCATATTAAGATTTAATCGAAAATTTCTATTTCTTCTAATTATAGATTATTTTCTTTGTCAGCGTACGAATAATAGGATCGATTATGTACTGTATATTCTTCTTATCGGCCTATTCGTTCGTTTAATATGTTTATCACGATTATCACGTATATAATATCACGGCTCACGGATTTCTCTTTAGGAATAAATCGAAAGGCGTATCAAATTAAAATTTAATTTGGATTTGTCTAATAAGCAAAAATTTTTACGAATTTTTATGAATTTAATAATTTAGGAAAGCTTTTTTTTTTTGCATTATTAAATTTTTTTCTATTGTATATTAATATCAAAATTAATCAAACCGATTTTATTGTTTTAAAATAATATACGGCTTGTCAAAAAAAAAATCACAATTATATTTTTATTTATTTAATAAACAACAATGGAAAATAATTTAAACCAAATAAAATTTTAAATATAGTTTTTTTTTAAATGCAAAAAGCAAGTTTACTTGTAATTATTTCCATTAGTTTTATTAGTTTTGTTATTTATTAAAATAGATACTTAAAGTAAATTAAATAAAAAATAAATAATTATAAAATTAAATTCTATGATATATATAGATATACACATTATATACAATGTATACATAATGCAATTCTAGTTTACAAAAAAAATTTTAGTTGATTCAAATTTCTAACATAATCTAACATAAAAAATATTTTTTTTATTAACATGTTATAAAATATACAGTGTGGTGCAAAAAAAATCAGAATTTTTTTAGATCTATATTTTTATTAATAAATTAATACAGAATTATTTAAATGTTATAAAACTTTATATTTTTGTTTTTAAGATAAAAATAAAAAAAAAACATATAATTTTTTGTTAATTTAAATATTAATTTTAAAGTGAATTTTAAATATAAAACCAATTTTTTAAAAAAAAAAAAATATCAAAAAAAATATTTCTTTATTGTAATTTTTAAAAAACTATTATTATTAATTTTATTAAATTAATTAATAAAATAATTTTATATAAAGCTATTTGTAGTATTTAAGAATATTAAACAAAAAAAAATTTTTTTTTTGATATTTTAAATATATTTTTTATTATAAAAATATCTAAAATTTAAATAGAATTAAATTTTTTTATACATTTTCCAAACAGTTTTTTATTTTAAAACATATATTATTATATTTAGATATATGACTTATAATAAACTTATTGTTAAGATATCAGAAAACTTATTTGTAAAGTTTTATATAATTTGATTAATTAATTATTCAATTATAACTAAACATATAATTCTGGTTTTTTTTGCACCATACTATATAACTGAAAAATATGTTTTAATAATACAAATTTTTTGTTAATTAATTCAATAATAAATATTTAGTATAAAAATTTTTGTCATTTTTTACACTGTATATGTAGTACCGTGTATAGGATTGTTTGTTTTTTATCATTATTTTGATGGTTACGTTCACCGATAAAGAAACACCTACATTTGTATCCATTACGAATATTGGGTCAATGTCTTTCACACGGTCATTTTTTTAGCAATTAGTCTCCTAACGAAATGCAATGAGAGTAGGCTGGGTTTGCGTGATGGTTGTAAAACACGATGGAGGTTGAGAGAATCCAAATCCGTGTGAAGAAACTGATGATAACGGTGCAATAATCCGCTCAAGGGATTTTTATGTGTAATACAAACAGTTGTGAAAAAAAAACTTGGGTAATGTTTCGTAAAGGATCGTAAAACGCATACATTGCTATTTAAAACTCAGGGCTAATGGTAGACGTGAAGATTTCATTCTTTTGAAGCTAATTAAGAAACTGACCTCGTGCTTCATTATGAGATGATATAAATACTATATATGATGAAATGAAACAAATTCACGGTTTCTTAAAGATGATGAAAACCTCAAAGGTGAATAAATGCTCGGATGCATATTACGTATCAATTATTTATCTCCGAAAAATATTTGTGCGTATCCTTTGTTAATATTATTTTTATTAAAAGCTTTTTATTGAAATCGTTTTATTATAATCGAGTGCTTACTTTTAGAAATTAGTATAAGGATAGAAGCAGGAAAAAAGCCTTTTGAGAACACAGAGAGTGAAATTTCTTTATATATACTGTACAGTATTTACAACTAGCAAATCACACAGTGAATATCTCAACTTCACGTGCTTCTTGTATCAACCCGCAGCAAGCGCAAAATGTATGGGTTAGACAATCCGTACAGCCGTCACCCTATGGAACAAGTATACAGTATACACTTTAAAACACTATTAAAGGAAATATATACCACACTACATGTAGTATCATCATATTTACCTGGATATTATATCTTGCGCGAATTTCCCCACGATTTGGTGTACCCATAACGCAGGGAAAACCGCACGACATAGCTACAATATAATAAATTAAGGCCGAACAAATCCAACACATTCTTCTAAACTTTAGCGGTGTTCTTATTGACATGGCACAAATTATATTAAAGGATGAAATGAAAGTT